CACACTAAAACTAAAAACTCTTACTAAACTAAACGAAACTAACTCCGTCCCTCCAGGTGTCACCAACTTCCTCAACGTGGGCCAGCCCGACAAGACCCACAGTGGCCCCGAGTACTCCTACATGAAGATCGAGTGCAGCGACAAGGGGGACGTGGTAGGGGAGAGCATCGCGTATGGCTGGTACCTGGACAAGTCTTCCGACGGCGGTTCCAGCCAGCGGCAGATCGGGACAGACAACGGACGCATTTATATTGACGTTGAAGGTGAGATACTAATGATAATAATAAATGTGAGGCATCGTGGTGGAATCAGGCTCTCGTCAATTTTTGGGCATGTAGAGTTATTGGTGTCATCTTAAAGCTTGTTCACTTGTATTTATTGAGGTGGAAAAAGTATCCATTTATCTTGAATACAAGTCAAGATATTTGCGAATGAAGGAGGTGGGGGTCACCTGTTTTCAGAGGTAAAAGTAGTGAGAAAATAGCCGCTAAAAATTAGTTATTTCCTTAGCTTAAGAGTCCGTGGTAACTGAAAATTTACATTTGTTTGTGCCTGTAATCAACGTTTTTCAGAAATATCCACACAGAAATGAATTCTTTAATGGGCATGAAAGGTATTGGACCAAAAAACAAAAAATTTATAGAAATTCATAAACCTTTGGAAAAATGCAAGTTTCTTCACTTTGAGTATTTTGACGAGAGCCTGATTCCACCACGCTGTCTCACAAATGACGCTTGGTCACTTTTAAGGACAAGGGGGTTTGAAATGATGTTGGTGTTGTTTGTTTGGTTTCCGTTGTTTGGAAGTTTGTGTCGAGAGTTGCTGCTGTGAAGCTTCATTTTGGGATGGGCTGAGGGGGGGTAGCTTCCATAGTTTGGAAGTTTGTGTGAGGGGCCGATTTATCATAAGAGGTGTGAGCCCGAGTTTTTCTATCTGGCTCAGATACGACTTGAGTCAAGTGGACGGGGACTAAGGACTTTTTACATCCTTCAGCCAACTTTAGATCAAAGGTCTTGCAAATTACTGTTATCGGTGGTGTTGGGCACAGGTGGTATATAACAGTTGTTTTTTTGTACAACAGTCGAGTGCTTTAGGGGTTATTGGTTATGGTAAGGCAAGGTATGCTAGGTTTAGGTGTCTGTGGAAAAAACTCCAGGAAATGGTGGAAAAACTCAGGGTTTAAAGAGTTAAACTATAAAAAACCACTTCAAGTCAAGTTTCAGATTGATGTTTCATGGATTTGTGGGGATCAAATTTCTACATCTATTTTTGTGGCAGTGTATTTAACCCTGCTTTATTTACCACATGGTTCAAAAATCAGCTTTTTTAAAGAAAAGTTTGGTTTGAACACATTTGTGAACCACACCATCTATGTTTTTATCTTTTGGTTCCTTCCCTCCCCTCTAGGAAACCTTCACATCTCCTACTTGAACATATCAGACAGCACGGCCGACAGGGGAAGTTACTTCTGCGGCATTGGTCTGACAGAGTTGAACCTTATCCGTCTGGGCAACGGGAACAAGCTAACTGTGTCGCCAGTGAACAGTGAGTGAAAGATAATATAATAATAATAATAATAATAATAATAATAATAATAATAATAATAATAGTAATAATGACAGATAGCATTTGTATAGTGCAAATCCCCGCTCAACAGCAAGCTCTATGCGATTCACAATCTATACATTACTATTACCTCAGCAGTCTCACATTTCTGTTTCTAGATTAACATTTTTTTTTAACCCTATCCGTACACCCTGGGGTCATTTGTACCCCCGGGGTTGTATTCTTCATATTTTAGAATACTTGTAGAACGAAGATATATTTGAAACTTTCAGTATTTCTCAAAAAATCCTTTAGACAGACTGCTATACAAAGCGAACGGATCGGATTAACGAGTAATTTCCTCTTTGAAAAGTGGTGGCACGGAGTTCCCCACGTTGTATGGATACAATAGTAGCACACGACGTACGGATAGGGTTAATGTGTTTCCAGCCTCCCAAAGTCCAACCCTTCGTCCTCGTCGGGGGAGGTCGAAACAGGACAAAGTAGGGCATAGCTGGGTGTGGGTGAAGTACGGTGTGACTTTATGTCACTGAGGCGTTGTTACGCTGGCCGTGAAGGCCGACCATGGTCTCCCTGAAATGTTGCTGGCTAAAGTGGCTCTGGTGAAACCGTGACTGGCCTAGCCAGCCGACGTCAGATAATTATTGCAACGAAACAATCAAAGGAGAAAACACGGACAGATTCAAATGGAAAACGGCCAGGAAAAGTAAACGTACAGCGAGCTAGAACAACGATTAAAATAGGCACATGGAATGTCAGTTAGTTAGTTTTAGTAGAGGTTTTACGGCGTTCGCAACTGCATAACGTCAAATGAGCGCCAGAAGATTTGAGAGAGTAACAAACATAAAAAAGAAGAAGGGGAGATAAGGACGATAGATGTTTCATAGGAAAGAAGAAGCAAACCACACTAGAGCACCCGCTAACCACCCACATGGAATGTCAGCGGTCTCCCCTCTACGCTTAACGGCAACAGGGGATGGAAAAGTAAAAGTAAAAGGAAGTAATGTGTCGTTTCGTCGTTTCCAACTCTTTTCTCCTCAGACCCAGTAGCTGTGGCCCCCAAACGTGCCTACAGCAACAGCGGGGTGCGGGTTCAACTCTACAGGAAGGCTGTTCTCGAATGTGTCTTTGATGGATAGTAAGTATTTTCCCAGTACTCTTTTTTTTTTTTTGTGTGTGTTCAGAGATCACTTGCATCTGTTGTGAATTGTTTTTTGTTTTGTTTGTTTGTTGGGTTTTGTTTTTTTTGTATAAAGAAGATATTTAATACATTTTAAAGGGTTTGAGTATGAAAGTCCATTTTCAAAATTCAAACTCTCCTACCAGCTGAAAAAGTTTAATGTGTCTCACGCGCTCATATGACCTTATGCAGTTGCGAGTGCCATAAAACACTTACAAATAAAAACCAACAACAAGAACAAAAACGAAAACGAAAAAATACAACTCATGCAAATTTTTTTTGGGGTTTTCAGCGACCCTCGGCCCCCTCATCTGCCTCAAATCTCGTGGCAAGACAGCAGCTACCGCGACATTGTGCCGGGCGGCCGGTACCAGATCTCTGCCGACGGGCGCCGTCTGGAGATCAACAACGTACAGGAGGAGGACGAGGGTGACTATCACTGCATGGCGAGCAACGGCGCCGGAGCCTCGCCCAAGGAGGCTGTGACCTTGGATGTGACTTGTGAGTGGTGGCTGGCGGTGGTTCGGTGGTTCGCTACCTCTGAATTGGTTGTTTTTAACACTTTGCCATCACAAGGCTCCTACATGTAGGCCTAGATCTAGATATATTTAGTTCTAGATCTAGTATAAACCCCTTCCATCAAAGGCAAAGGCATTTTGGGGAAAATTTAAAGTAACTGGGTGGTAGACATCGCTGATCAGCGAGATGTGACGGCTAAGAGTTAAGAACAAGTGGGCTAACCCAGATGGGGGGGGGTTCTGTAAATCTTGACCTACATCAAAAGTGGGCATTTCCCTACCTATAGGAGAAGTTTGATTTCATTGGTGTATATATTTTTTTGGTTATAGAGAAAACTCTGTTTGTCTTTTAAAGAAACTTAATAAGGATTCAAAAATTTTACCTTCGATTTTCTCAAAACAGCATTTTTCGAGATAGCCCCCCCTTGTGCTGAAAAGTGACCTTATGTATTTGGTTGTAGTGAAAACTCTCCTTGTCTTTTAAAGAAACTGAACAAGGGGCAAAAACTTTACCTTTGATTTTCTCCAAACATTTTTCAGATATCCACTTTGTGCTTAAAAGCGACCATATGTCTTTGGTTATAGAGAAAACTCCTTGTCGTTTAAAGAAACTGAACTAGGGACAAAAACTTTACCTTTGATTTTCTCAAAACAACATTTTTCAAGATAGCCCCCCCCTTGTGCTTAAAAGCGACGATCTATACATATGTGTATTTTTTTCTCCCCCCCTTGTGCTTAAAAGCGACGATCTATACATGTGTATTTTTTTCCTCCGCCTCCGCAAACAGCCCCCCCAATCTGGAATGAGGGCGGCCAGCCGGCGGACATGACGAGACCCAACGGACGTAATGTCACGTTCAACTGTAATGCCAGGTCAGCCCTGGGTGAGCCGGAGCCGCGGACTCCTATCTGGTTCATCAATGGCAAGAGGACAGGACCACATCTACGTAAGTGCCGTGAAGCATTGCTCAAGATAAGATGTGGCGCTGATAAGATGTGGTGGCGCTCATATGGCCTTATGTAGTTAGTTGCGAGCGCCTAAAATCTCCTCTGAAACAAGCAAAAGAAGATAAGATGTAATATTCATACCAAAAAATGAAGTCCAAATAAAAACAAAAACAACTGATTTCAGGGGTAAAATTAGTGAGAAAATGGCCGTCAAAGATAAGTTATTTCCTTAGCTTGAGAGTCCATAGAAACTGAAAATCTACCTTTTTTGTGCCATTAATCAATGTTTTTCAATAAAATCAACACAGAAATGCGTTCTATGATGGGCATATAAGGTGTGGAGCCAAAAAAACGAAACTTCAATAAAAATTCACAAACCTGCGGAAAAATTACATATTCTTCACTTTGATTATTTTGACGAGCGCCTGATTTCACCACGCTGCCTCGCGTGTAAAGAAATATTGTGCCAGTGGACTAGTGGCATAACTGAAAACCTTCCCAAAACTTCCTGCTTGTCTATTTTGTCTCTTGTCTTTCACTTATTATCGTACAGATGTTATAGCAAAATTTTTTTTTCTGGGGAGAGACAAAACTGTTTCTTTCTTTTAGAAATTATATGTACACAAAGGAAGGTAAAGGCATGCTCTGCGAATTAATCGATTCAAGTTTTCTCTATTTTGTTGTCTCATGTTCCCAGCATATGCTGTCGTATAGAAATTGATCATGCTTTCTATGGTTGAATGATAGAATATGGACATCAGTGATTTATTGACTTTAAATAACATGAGCTTCCTCCGGAAAAAAAAAGTTAGTCCTTTTGGACATTGTCATTTTAATATAGCAAAAACTAAAGGGAGACTACAGCTTCAGTCTGTGGGAGACACATTGGAGTAAACAAATAACACCTCTAATCTTCTGGCGCTCATATGACCGTATGCAGTTGCGAGTGCCGTAAAACCTCTACTAAAACTAAACTAAAACTCTACAACATCATGCTCGGACTGGGTCCACGAAAACTTTCGGGTCTCTCCAGTAGAGACAAAGTCATTTTTACCCGATTGTGAATTGGACACTCGTCCCTGACACAAATACCTCCTGCCGGGAGATGAGAAGCCATTCTGTGTCGGATGTGACTCAGATTTTACCATTAGACACATCTTAACAGAATGTCCGGACTTTGGAGAGACCTGAAGGAAGTATTTTAATTGTACTAAATTACAAGATCTTTTCCCTGTGGTTGAAGCCAACAGAATTCTGGATTTTTATAAAGGCCATTGACTTTTACTTTAAATTGTACAGTTATTTTAACATTTTTTAAGACATCATTTTAAAACTGAGATTTTTACTCTCTTGTAACACATCTATTTTTTGACACTTATGTGACCTTATTGTGTTGCAAATGCTGTAAAACTCTTATTACTAAAAGTAAAAAAATTACAAAATGTGTCGCATCCCATCCCCTCACCAGCCACCACCAAGATCCAGATCTCCGGAGACAAGAAACAGCTGAAGGTGCTGAGCGTCAACAAAGAGAACGACATCATGTGTGTGCAGTGTGTGGTCTCCAATGATGTTGGGACCACGCTGGGCCGAGGCTGTCTCACAGTCATACGTAAGTATTTTCTAGACTTACGTCTGTTTGACTCTTAGTCGTACGTAAGTATTTCCTTAAATTTTTATGTTTTAAAAAAAAGTTATTTTAAATTAAGAATTTATTTACACCAGATTTTAATAATTTAGCATTTTAGTGGAGGTGTTGACCAGAACGGGCTGTGCAATGTGCTGTAGCGAACAGAACCAACTTTTTTTGGGGCATGCTCATATGACCTTATGCAGTTGCGAGCGCCGTAAAACTCTTACTAAAACAAAAGTAGTCTGTTGTCTTACAGTCATACGTATTTCCTAGACATACTTCTGTTTGTACTGTATGTCATACGTAAGTATTTCCTAGACGTAAGGCTGTTTGTCTCTTTGTCTGGACAATAAAGATGCATCTTATTTGGGGTGGGTAGTTGGTGGGTGCTCTGGTGTGGTTTGCTTCTTCCTTCCTATCAAACATCTATGATCCTTATCTCCCCTCCTTCTTTTTTATGTTTGTTACTCTCTTGTAACACCTCTAATCTTCGGCACTTATATGACCTTATTGTTGCAAGTGCCGTAAAACTCTTACTAAAACTAAAGTGTCTTAATGTGTTTGTGTCTGGGTGTGTGTCTGTGTATGTATGCCTATGTGCATGTGTCCCCGTGTATGTATATGTGTACTTGGTGAAACTCCAAACCAATGTGCCAGGATCTGGACAATAAAGATCATGTATCTTATCTTATTATCTATCGTTATATGTTTTCCGGTACAGTTCCCATCGACATCACCTACCAGCCCAAGCTGCGCCAGGTGATCACGTACGGCCAGTCTGTGGACCTGACGGTGCGCGCCACCACCGACCCCAGCGCCGGCAAGCTGCAGTATGAGTGGTACTTCCGCAACGCCACCTACTCGGACGCCCCGCCGTTCGTCTACTACAACCCCACCACCATGACCGCCTTCATCAACACCTCTACCTTGACGGAGGAGGAGTATAAGGAGATCGGGGGCGTTTACCGACGTCGGATCTGGCACGAGAACGACGAGGCCTGGGTGGATATAGAGGTAGAGCTGGAGGATAAGCCCGCAGGTTGGTGTGACTTCATCATCATCGTCATCATCATCTTCATCAACTTCATCATCGTCATCATCATGATCATCATCAACATCATCATCATCATCATTATCATCGTGCAATTTCATCATCATCACCATCATCGTCATCATTGTCATTGCCTTTCATTTCCTTTCTCACTCAAATTTCTGGGTTTTTGGGGGGGTTTTTTGGGTTTATTTTACTTTTTGGTTTCCTTTCACACTCAAATTTCTGGGGG